TATAGGTGTGTATGTGTGTGTATAAGTGTGTATGTGTGTGTGCTGTTACCGCATGTACTCCCCCGCCCCACGACTGCAGAAATATTTAACCCCAGTTGAAACGGATGTGTTTACAAGTCAAGAGTTCACAGCCAACAGTGTAGTTCAGTTCACACACACACACACACACACACAACCTGAGCTGAAAGGTTTTATAAGTAGATAAAACATAATAATTAACTAAAGTACTGAAATATAAATGTATATTTTATATCTGGAGAAACAGCTGAAAGCGTCAACATCAGGTTTAAGGCATCATACAGATGTTTCTGCAGGTTTAACTATAAATTCTGTTCACGGTTTTATTTTTATTTCCTACTTTACCTTCATTTTCAGTTGTTTTGAGTCAATTTATTAAGTCATCATCCCTGTTTTAAAGTAGATCTTCTTTTAAATCTCTTCTTTTATGGCTGTTTGTTAACTGCTGCTGTTTGATACAACTCTTCCTTTATTTTGTTTGTATGTTGAGTTTTGGATCTGATCTACTTTTGTTATTTGTTTTTACTGTAAAGCACGTTGTACCTTTATTATGTAAGTTATATAAGTTATAAGTTGTTATTATTAACCCACTCGGCTGTTTGTTTCAGCAGCTGACATCCGTTTGTCTGGTTGGGAATAATTTCAGTTTCTTATTTTGTTTGTGCATTGCTTGTGTAACTGTAGACACATTAAAATGTACTTTATTTACAATTAATCCAATACTGTTGTGACACTGACGCACTGCAGATTAAAAACTGTATTTGCACGACATCTCTGTGTGTTTATTGTCATGAATGTGAAGCTGACAGAAGAGAATAACGTGTTCACGGTGATGGAGTCGGATCTCTGCACCAGCACGAACTGAAAGCGACGGCTCTGTGGACGGTAGGAAGCCGGTACAGAGCGTGCAGCAGGATGCTCCTTTGAAGGATGTTTCACGAAGAGGAAGATCAGAGTGAGAAGGAAACAGGTTGTCGTGCAGTGAAGAGTTATTTCCGTGCACATGAAGTTTATCATTTGTGGGACAGATAATTACAGCTTCACTTTTTATGTTGCTGCAATTTCTTTCTTGGCTGCGAGTTTCTCAATTGCCTAAACAAACTGCGAGGAAGCATTGATGATTTCCCAGCAGGGCAGAAATATGATGATACAAGCGTCGGGCGATGTTTGGCAACATTGCACAGTTCCTCAACTTTCATCGTGTTTTTGAAAAGAAACCACAGAAAAAAACAGCTTCACACAAAAATATGTTCAAACTCTATGTACAAACAGCAGCTGTGATCACAAATAATGATCACAGATAAGATCACAGCTAGGAGAGGAAAAGCTTCTGCTGTTACTGATCATCAGTTTACCTGGTGGAAGCCAAGGAAGTCCTGGATGGTGGGGGATGTGTAGAAGACGTAGCCTTCGGCCGTCACCACCAACACGAAGCCGTTCAGCGCCTGAAGGCCAAAGACAATATTTACTTCATCATTTCACTACCTTCGTTCTCTGAGACGGTCTGCTGTCCGTCGTTTGTGCGGCGTTACCTGAAGCAGCAGGTCTCCCTCAGAGAAGCTGACTCCGTCGATGGAGGTCACCTGGGAGGCGGAGGCCGGGGAGGAGGAGGAGGAGGGAGTGGAGGTGGTGGAGGACGAAGGCAGCGCGTTCTGGACGTTCCCCCCGAACATCCGGCTCCGCTCGCTGGTCCAGCTGGAGCCGTTCTGGCCCTTCTTCATGGTGGCTGCAGGTGAGGAAGAGGCTTTCTTTTAATACACAGCACAAACAAATGGAGGAACTGGGGCAAAGTTTCTGGAACTGCATTCGACATTTATCTGATTTGTTTCTGTTGTTTTTTTAATGTTGTTTGTTTCATTTCACCTCAGATTTCTGAGAAAAACCACAGAGAGGAACTGAAACTGAGGAAACACCTTTTTCCCCCAACCAGCGTACAAAGTGTACAAATCTCAACATTTCAAGAAAGAAAATAAAAGGTTAGGTTCTCTAGGGTCACAGCTCGGTGACAAACAGCTGATTGTGTTTACAAACTGCAGAAACAAGAAGTGAGAAAGAGGAACATCTCCTTCTATCAGGGTGGAGCTGCCCTGATATTTCCTGTCGTCTTACAACACCGTCACTCAACTCTTCCTCCTCTTCCTCCTCCGTCCTTATCGGAGAGCAAATATCTGCCCCGAGCACCTTAAAATATCCCGTCAGAGAGGAAGCAGGTGGAAGTCGGCTGAGAAACGACTGATGGACGGACTGATGGAGGAGGAAGAGGAGGACAGTTTGAGCGATGGAGCCTCTTTGTCGAGCGTTAAAGGTTTCTGTTCGTTCGAAGCAGATTTACACAACGACACATATTCCTGTGACTGATATTCTACAGTTTATAAGCGACAGCAGTCGTACGATTCGAGCCCTGAGTTTGAAATGTAATGCTTCAAGACAGTGACACACACACACACAGGCCAAACGAGGATAACAGGCAGAGCCACAAAATTACCCGTTGGCCTCAGCGTTTTCCCCCCGTGGAGGGAACCAAGTGAAGTGGTCGACGAAGGCTTCAGACGCTGACGGGGAGACTCGAACCGATCTGGATCGGGCTGGTTTTTTTTTTCTAATAGCGCTCGTGTGTTCTGTTCTGTTCCTAAATGATGGAAACATGCAGCTCCTCCAACAAAACCATCATAAAAAGCATAAAAAAGTATAATTTAGAGATACGGGATAATAACCCTCTGATTATAAGTTAGAACTCCCCGAAAAAAGTTATACAGGGCATTTTTTTTAGCAATGTTCCTGTTTCCTTACAGTGATTATATGTGACAAGCTCAAGTTCTGCTCTGAAATAGGATCTTTATAAATGCCTACAGATGACTGACAGCACTGCTTTTACACTTTGTGCCCTTCATGTTTTCATCTCAACGTTTAATAAGGTTTGTTTCATGAAACTTATTCTAAATCTTTGCTTGGTGTTGCTGTGTTTTATATGGTTACCTATATTTAATGTTTGTTTTGTCTTTTCTAACCTTGTCTGGATCAGTAATTTATTATTTGTATATATCATGTAGAGACAGGCTGAGAAAACCAGTTGAAAGTGTGTATAAATACTACGTAGTATGTCTTAAAGTGTCATATTTCTTGTGTTTTGGGTTCCTTGCAGTTTCATACTAAAAGAAAGTGACACCACGCTACCAAGAACAGTTCCTGGTAAGATGTAAAACTGAATATTTACAGTAAATGTTGTAATTTCATTTGACAAAATGACTGCTGAAGTTAAAAAGTGGAAAACATTTGGGGAAGCGTGTCTGAGTTATTAGTTATTTTAGGTTTGGTGTTCATCCAGTCAGCGAGGACGGAGGTGAGGCTACAGGATTTTGGATTCAGAGCCTGATTTCTGAGAGTGAAACTCGTGATTTAGAAACTGTAACGACTCAACGAGCTTTAAACTGTCATTTCTAATCTGAGCGCAAAGACTCAAATGTTCCAGTTAGCACAGATATGAAGACATTTCCTACATTGATCTTATTGAACCCAAACAATCCCTGCGTCTTATGAGCGCTTTAACGCCGTCCTCCACACAAAGCAGGCACATCCTCAATCTGATATGAACTCAGCTTACTCTTGCTTAACTGCCTGCCTTTAAAAATCCCCCCAGTTTCATTGCCAGAGGTGTTGGCATGAATCCTGAGGGGTTTACATACTGTTTGAGTTTTATGAATCAGCAAAAAGCAGAAAATCCTCACATTCAAGAAGCAGGAACTAATTCATATTTCACTTTCTATCTTTCAAAGCGATCTAAAATCGATTCATTACAGACACAAAAAGGGAAAAATTGCAGGTTATTATTTGGTTTGGTTAGAGCCATAAAAGTACCACGAGAGTCAGATAATTTGAGCTTTGCATTAACAGGCTGGTACAAAGAGGAGAACATGCCAGGGGACAACCAAACCAGATGGGCTGGTTAAACACAGTAACGCACAAAGGAAGGAAACGTCCCGGCGGCTAAAGCTGCTCAGTGTGTCTGCGTCGCTTTCCTGAGGAAGACCAGGAGGTATCACATTCTCGATCTGCGGCAGGAAACACAAATACCGGGGGTATTTAGGCGACATTAAAACGGTTTAATACCCAAACAGACACCACAAAGGGGTAGTTTGATCAGAGAAATATGAAGAGAACAGCTGCTGTGAATACCAAAAACACACCAAAGAGCCAAGGAGAGAGTCTGGATAGAGACTAGAGCTTTGGTTTGGTAGGAACCATAAATCAGCTTGTTTAGCAGAAGAAAGGAAAAAGAACAAATGCGTTTTTATTTTATTCATATTGCTGATTTACACCAGCGACTTTCCAGTGCCTGTTTTAATTAGTTTGATTAATGGTGCTGCCAAACACTTGAATTTAAGACAGTTCACTTGTTTCACACATCCTGGAGGGTTGCCACCCTGCAAGCTCAGGCTCAGACACTTCAATCAATTCTGCATTCAGCAAGAGAAAGACAAAGAGGAGACAAATCTAAATGCACTTAACCACCCAAATCTGCTCCTGGGTGAAATATAACCATCCAAACACTATAACAAACTGATCTCATTTTAAGATATTCAAGGCTTTTTTATGTTCCTCAAATTTAAAATGTACATTCCTTTGTGTTGTTACCTAAAAGAGCAAATATATAAAACAATATAAATAACTTTAATACCAACAAAATAAGAACAAATCACGGATATGAACGTAAATAAGAGAAAATGTTTGGTTGGCGTGTGAGAGAAAGATGCTAAAAAGGAAAGTCTGATCCTGTTTGAGTGCACATTTCTGCAGAATATAAAGGTTAACCTGTCCACAGGAGACAACCAAACCTCACCTGCCTCACGCTGAACCTGCTGGTAATTCCCCATCATGTGTTGTGAAACGTGCAACAGCTTCGTGTTAAAACAGACTTCTTATTTTTAATCCCATGCTCCTTTGCTCCCTCTCTGGGAGTTTTCCCCCTGCGTCATGCCAAATGCTTCCCTGCTCCCACGGCACGCTCTGCACGGCGTTTTTAACATGATTTATGACAAAACACAACAGCGGCAATCGATTTCATGCACGCTCACATTTCATGAATTCAGATGCTGAATCGTTGGTTTGTTTTGCGGGCCTACAGCGGCGTTTAAAGGTGCAAGCTTCTTTTTTGGCGTTTGTTTATCCAGGAGAGATTAGCTGAGCACACACTCTCTTTCCCAGCAACACCCTGCTTCACATCAACGCCATTATCGAGATTCCCACCTGGAAGCTCACTACCACAGCCGCAGTCTCTCGCTTTCAACCACTGGGAGCTTCCCAGTACATTTGGCAGCTTAAGTGGCGCAGAATTTACCAACTGTGAAGCAGCTGCTGGTACGTGAGAAAGCAAATACAACACAATACACGCTGATGAATTAGGTTAGCAGGGAAACAGAGGAGTAATTAATGCTGTATGTGTGAGTGTGTCGAGCGTCACTTAGCGTCTTATATTGGTTAGCAACATCTGATTTTGAGTTTACGGCTGTATCATCGGCTGTAACGTGGAATTATGGGTTGTTTTTGTGTGCTGACGTAGTGAAAACCTGCAGACGCTCCATCTCCAGACACCCGGTCTGTAACCGGACCGCACACAAGCATTCCCTCACAACGTAGGAACGACAGGCGACGCTTAAATCTCACACCGATATCATTTCACAACAGACGACACACAAAGCTCTAAATTTAGACCTGAAAAATTTGATTTACGGCACTGAAATACTCGGAAATCCAAACCGAAATGAGACAAGATGGAACTTGTGTTTCCTTGTTGACTAAATGAAACACTCTTGTGCATTTTTAAAGGACTGAATAATGATTAACAGTGCAAATATGGAGCAGTTGTCCATGAACATAACACAAACATTATGTGGTGGGTGTGGGTTGTTAACGAATATTGAGTAAAGATGTACGTTACTCAAAACTAGACACAAGAATTTTTAAGACTGCACATCTTTGTCTTTGGTTTCACTGTTGCCTTAATGTGGTTTTGGTGTAAGTGTGTGTGTAGAGGGGGTCTGTCCGGGCATGCTCAGAGTTAGGACCTCTAACACACTCATATACACACACTCACAGCCGGAGGCGATCTGGTTTAGTGGTTTATCGTCACAGCGCAGCAACAATGAGCTATTTTAGTATCAGGAAGAACAGGGGCGAGACAGAAGATAAGACGGGACAGAAGGAACGGAAAGAAGCGCGCGAGGTATAAATAGAGAAAGTGTGAAAGTGCCGAACAAATGAGAACAAACGAGTGTTGATGGTTAGAGACGGATGAAACGAGATACAAAGACATAAAGAACGATCAAAAACAATAAAACCCGAGAGGATCGCCGTAGGTGCCCTGGGGAACTCCCAGCTCTGTTTCTAACGTGGTAAAAACCCACTTCATTCACCCCTTTTCCCCTCAACGCTGAGGTTTTAACAAGGAACAGCTGACTTCTACCAAACTGCCAGAACCCTCGTAAAACAGGAGAAACCCCCCAAACCCATCTCCGCCCCCTCCACCTCATCTTCTCCTCTCGCTGTGCAGTGAAGAGACACTTCACTGGACAAAGCTCGGTGCCACGAAGACCCGCTTTCCTGTGGTCACATGGTTGTATGTTGACTTTATGAGGAGAATCCGAGGTCAGTTCAGTCAGGTGCTTCTATACGCAAAAGAAAAATGCTAATTGTGTCTTCAAATGTCTCGTTTTATCCGACCAGCAGCCC